CGCCGAAGCTCCCACCTATTCTACACCTCCTATGTCTTTTCACAATGTCAAACTAGAGTCAAGCTCAACAGGGTCTTCTTTCCCCGCTGATTCTGCCAAGCCCGTTCCCTTGGCTGTGGTTTCGCTAGATAGTAGATAGGGACAGTGGGAATCTCGTTGATCCATTCATGCGCGTCACTAATTAGATGACGAGGCATTTGGCTACCTTAAGAGAGTCATAGTTACTCCCGCCGTTTACCCGCGCTTGGTTGAATTACTTCACTTTGACATTCAGAGCACTGGGCAGAAATCACATTGCGTCAACACCACTTTCTGGCCATCGCAATGCTATGTTTTAATTAGACAGTCAGATTCCCCTTGTCCGTACCAGTTCTAAGTTGGTTGTTAACCGTACGCCGGACGGCCGAAGCCTGCTAAGGGCGTCAGAACCCGAGTGCTGGAAGCCTCCGGCCGGTTGCCCGGCTAGTGGCGACCTGCTCCCAAGCCGTCCGCCCAAAGCCCAACGTACCCAACCCTTAGAGCCAATCCTTATCCCGAAGTTACGGATCTGTTTTGCCGACTTCCCTTATCTACATTGTTCTATCAACCAGAGGCTGTTCACCTTGGAGACCTGCTGCGGTTATGAGTACGACCTGGCGTGAGAATTATTCCTTCCCGCGGATTTTCAAGGGACGTCGAGAGCGCACCGGACCCAACAGAAGTGCTGGGCTCTTCCGGCCGTTAAACCCTAGCTCCGGACAAACCGATTTCAGGGTGATAGACCGTTAAGAAGAAAAGAGAACTCTGCCCGGGGCCCCCGCCGTCGTCTCCGCGTTCAGTTGCGTTGCCGCGCAAAACCCACATCCAGGTGCCGGAATATTGACCGGCTTCCCTTTCGCCATACGGGGCACAAGTGCCCCTTTGAAACGGAACTTCCCTATGGCTTAGGATCGACTAACCCATGTCCAACCGCTGTTCACATGGAACCTTTCCCCACTTCGGTCCTTCAAGTTCTCATTGAAGTATTTGCTACTACCACCAAGATCTGCACTAGAGGCCGTTCTACCCGGGCTCACGCCCTAGGCTTCGTCACTGACCTCCACGTCCGCCTACTCCTCAGCGCATCGTTTCTACACTGAGGGCGAGGTATGGGTGAGTCGCTTGAGCGCCATCCATTTTCAGGGCTAGTACATTCGGCAGGTGAGTTGTTACACAGTCCTTAGCGGATTCCGACTTCCATGGCCACCGTCCTGCTGTCAAGATGTACTAACACCTTTTGTGGTGTCTGATGAGCGACTACTCTGGCACCTTAACCTCGCGTTCGGTTCATCCCGCATCGCCAGTTCTGCTTACCAAAAATGGCCCACTAGTGTTGATACATTCGAATGCCCACGTTCAACTAAGTAACAAGGGCTTCTTACATATTTAAAGTTTGAGAATGGATGAAGGCAAAAAATAGCCCCCGAGTCCCTAATCATTCGCTTTACCTCATAAAACTGAGTTCAACACTGCTATCCTGAGGGAAACTTCGGCGGAAACCAGCTACTAGAAGGTTCGATTAGTCTTTCGCCCCCATGCGCATATTTGACGATCGATTTGCACGTCAGAACCGCTGCGAGCCTCCACCAGAGTTTCCTCTGGCTTCACCCTATACACGCATAGTTCACCTTCTTTCGGGTCCAACCCTATATGCTCTTACTCAAATCCATCCGAGAACATCAGGATCGGTCGATGATGCGCCGAAGCTCTCACCTGCGTTCACTTTCATTACGCGTAGGGGTTTAACACCCAAACACTCGCACATAAGGTTGACTCCTTGGTCCGTGTTTCAAGACGGGTCGCTGATGACCATTACGCCAGCATCCTTGCGGAGCGCGTACCTCAGCCCGCCGAAGGGTATTATGCAACAGGCTATAACACTCCCCGAGAGGAGCCACGTTCCTGAAGCTTTTGTCCCCGACGGCAAGCTGATGCTGGCCTGTGCCGGCGAAGTGCCCCAGCCGCGAGAGCTGGGTGATTCACCGGACGCAAGTCTGGTCACAAGCGCTTCCCTTTTAACAATTTCACGTGCTGTTTAACCCTCTTTTCAAAGTGCTTTTCATCTTTCGATCACTCTACTTGTGCGCTATCGGTCTCTGGCCAATATTTAGCTTTAGAAGAAATATACCTCCCATTTTGAGCAGCATTCCCAAACTACTCGACTCGTCGAAGGAGCTTTACAAAGGCTTGGTGTCCAACCGTACGGGGCTCTCACCCTCTATGGCGTCCCGTTCCAGGGAACTCGGAAGGCACCGCGCCAAAAGCATCCTCTGCAAATTACAACTCGGGCCTGGGGCCAGATTTCAAATTTGAGCTGTTGCCGCTTCACTCGCCGTTACTGGGGCAATCCCTGTTGGTTTCTTTTCCTCCGCTTATTGATATGCTTAAGTTCAGCGGGTATTCCTACCTGATCCGAGGTCAACCTGTAAAAAATGGGGGGTTTTACGGCAAGAGTCCCTCCGAATCCCAGTGCGAGACGTTAGTTACTACGCAAAGGAGGCTCCGGGAGGGTCCGCCACTACCTTTAAGGGCCCACGTCGACCGTGGGGCCCCAAAACCAAGCGGTGCTTGAGGGTTGAAATGACGCTCGAACAGGCATGCCCGCCAGAATGCTGGCGGGCGCAATGTGCGTTCAAAGATTCGATGATTCACTGAATTCTGCAATTCACATTACTTATCGCATTTCGCTGCGTTCTTCATCGATGCCAGAACCAAGAGATCCGTTGTTAAAAGTTTTAATTATTTGCTTGTGCCACTCAGAAGAAACGTCGTCGAATTAGAGTTTGGTATCCTCCGGCGGGCGCTCCGTCCCCGTGGGGCCGGCGCCGGGAGGGGGGCCCGCGAAGGGGCCCGCCCTGCCCGCCGAAGCAACAGTTAGGTATGTTCACAAAGGGTTATAGAGCGGTAACTCAGTAATGATCCCTCCGCTGGTTCACCAACGGAGACCTTGTTACGACTTTTACTTCCTCTAAATGACCGAGTTTGGATAACTTTCCGGCCCTGAGTGGTAGTTGCCCACCTCTCTGGGCCAGTCCGAAAGCCTCACTGAGCCATTCAATCGGTAGTAGCGACGGGCGGTGTGTACAAAGGGCAGGGACGTAATCAACGCAAGCTGATGACTTGCGCTTACTAGGGATTCCTCGTTGAAGAGCAATAATTGCAATGCTCTATCCCCAGCACGACGGAGTTTAACAAGATTACCCGGGCCTTCCGGCCAAGGGAGTACTCGCTGGCTCCGTCAGTGTAACGCGCGTGCGGCCCAGAACATCTAAGGGCATCACAGACCTGTTATTGCCTCAAACTTCCATCGGCTTGAGCCGATAGTCCCTCTAAGAAGCCGGCGTACTGCCAAAGCAATACGGGCTATTTAGCAGGTTAAGGTCTCGTTCGTTATCGCAATTAAGCAGACAAATCACTCCACCAACTAAGAACGGCCATGCACCACCACCCACAAAATCAAGAAAGAGCTCTCAATCTGTCAATCCTCATTGTGTCTGGACCTGGTGAGTTTCCCCGTGTTGAGTCAAATTAAGCCGCAGGCTCCACCCCTGGTGGTGCCCTTCCGTCAATTTCTTTAAGTTTCAGCCTTGCGACCATACTCCCCCTGGAGCCCAAGCACTTTGATTTCTCGTAAGGTGCCGAACGAGTCAAAAAATAACATCGTCCGATCCCTAGTCGGCATAGTTTATGGTTAAGACTACGACGGTATCTGATCGTCTTCGATCCCCTAACTTTCGTTCCTGATAAATGAAAACATCCTTGGCAAATGCTTTCGCAGTAGTTAGTCTTCAATAAATCCAAGAATTTCACCTCTGACAATTGAATACTGATGCCCCCGACTGTCCCTATTAATCATTACGGCGGTCCTAGAAACCAACAAAATAGAACCACACGTCCTATTCTATTATTCCATGCTAATGTATTCGAGCATAGGCCTGCCTGGAGCACTCTAATTTTTTCAAAGTAAAAGTCCTGTTTCCCCGGCACACCCAGTGAAGGGCATGCGGTTCCACAGAGGGAAAGGCCCGGCCGGACCAGTGCACGCGGTGAGGCGGACCGGCCAGCCAGGCCCAAGGTTCTACTACGAGCTTTTTAACCACAACAACTTTAATATACGCTATTGGAGCTGGAATTACCGCGGCTGCTGGCACCAGACTTGCCCTCCAATTGTTCCTCGTTAAGGGATTTAAATTGTACTCATTCCAATTACAAGACCCAAAAGAGCCCTGTATCAGTATTTATCGTCACTACCTCCCCGTGTCGGGATTGGGTAATTTGCGCGCCTGCTGCCTTCCTTGGATGTAGTAGCCGTTTCTCAGGCTCCTTCTCCGGGGTCGAGCCCTAACCCTCCGTTACCCGTTGTAACCATGCTAGAACACTACTCTAGCATCGAAAGTTGATAGGGAAGAAATTTGAATGAACCATCGCCGGCGCAAGGCCATGCGATTCGAGAAGTTATTATGAATCACCAGTGAGCCCCGAAGGGCATTGGTTTTTAATCTAATAAATACATCCCTTCCGAAGTCGGGATTTTTAGCATGTATTAGCTCTAGAATTACCACGGTTATCCAAGTAGTAAGGTACTATCAAATAAACGATAACTTATATAATGAGCCATTCGCAGTTTCGCTGTATAATTGCTGCAAAGTCAAGGAACGCCCCTGGCGCCGTACTTGCAATCCTGGCCCCCCGCGGCCCGCTCCTTGCCAGCGCTTGACTCGCGGTCCTTGTCAACTCAAGAATCACGCACGTGAAGGACTCCACAGCAACTCTTCCGCTCCATCTGCGACTCTTGGCCGGAGAGATGCTGTATTAGTGCCGTCACTTAACTTCCGAATGACTCGTACAGCTTCAAGGGTTTCCAACAACCAACTTCTTCAAACGGAACTCTGCATACACGATATCCCTTTGTATCCGTAAACTGCAGGCAATATCTCTTCTCTCTCCATCCAAGCCACCTTCCCCCCCCCCCTCCTCCACCCCTATTCCAGATGCGGCGCCAATAACACGAAACCGTCACCGACGAGGGGCAGGGAATACAGACATATTGTCCAGAGGCACCACAGCTTCCAAGCTCTGGCGTCCGTTTCTGGGGTCCGCGTTCGAAGCACCCCAACAACGACCATGGCGCCGGACAGCGTGGGCAGCAGCACTGCCCACGAGCGGATATGCCAGACGTAGACGCATATGCACGACCAGAAGGGGACGAGCACCGCAAGCGACGCCCGCGAGGCCCTGTCGCCGAAGAATAGGGGCACCGTCGCGCGGCCCCGTCCGCGGTCGCCGGCCTGGTCTTTGAGGTCCTGCACCTGCATCGTCGTCAGGATGGCGGCGCTGATGATGGCGGCCCATGCGTAACCCTCGTGGGTGATGCTGATGGGTACGTGTGCGTGTACGTCATCGGCCGCGCCTGCTGCTGCCGCCGCCGCCACGCCGCTGATGGTGATCTTGAGGGAGGCCGTGTTGAAGAGGAAGTAGGCGACGGCGATGATGGCGTCCCGGACGAGCTCGTCACCCCCGCGCAGGTCGTTGTACAGCCACGTGAGGATCAGGATGAAGACGCCCTCCTTCCAGACGTCGAGCACGTAGTTGAAGGCCAGCACGGCGGGAATGGCCACGAGCATGGCCTTTCGGGTCTGCTCGGGCGTGACTTTGCCCGCAGGTATGGGGCGCCAAGGCTTGTTCGCGAGGTCCTCGGCCACGGATTCGGGACCCCTTTGGTTGGCCAGGTCGAAGATGAGGACGCTGTACCAGTTGAAGGCCACCACCAGAGGGAAACGATAGATGACGGGAAGAATGGCTGCGTGGCCCGAGGTCAGGGGCTGTCCGGTGAGCCCGCCCAGGAGGCCGAAAGCCGTGTTGGGAACGACGAATGTGGCGAAGTTGCTCTCGGTAAAGTCCCATATCAGACGAGGTATGCGGAGGACCTCCATGAAGGTGGAGGAGGAGGAGGACTTCTTGCTGCTCGCCGTGATCTCGCCTTCAAGCGAGGCATGTTTGAGCATGAGGGGAGAATTCTCCCCGAAGCCTGCTGGTTGCTGCATGATGATGGTCCCGTCCTGCGGTCTACTGACAAACCTGGCGTCTAGCAAAGGAGATGAAAAGATACTGGAGAGTGAGGTCCGACAGTCTGGTTCGACACCCTCGGTTGAGCACACGAGAGACAGAGACCCTCTTTACATCTTCTGATATCAAAAAGGGGGCGCTCATGGCCCATTGATAAAGGCCCGCCGAGGTCGACATAATGAACAACATCGTCGGCCTCGGGAAGGTCCATCGTCGCGAGTACATTCACCGCTTCATGATCCATCCACCTTTGATAACACATGCCCCCCCCCCTTCCAACTTCCAGTCTGAATGCCTCCATCGACGAATGTCTAAATTGTTAGTCGGTACTTTGTCGGCCCTGGTCATGTCAAGCCGCGTGTCAAGACGACGTCTCGGAGTCTCGGACGGCCTCGCAGCGAAGTACACTACATGCTGTGACTGGAACGGCAGGTAGTACGTCTGCGGTATGCACCGACCCCTGAGCGATCATACCCGGCTCCGCGAGTGATTTACCTTGCGCAGTATTGATCACCAGAGACGAACCAAAGGGTTAAGCAATGGATTCCTTAAAGAAACGTTCCCTGAAGCAGTTTCCGTTTACGAGTCGTAGCATTCGCGCTGGGCTCGAAACTGGGTAGCCGGACGAGCGAGACCTGCATCCTGGAAGTCTAAAAGAGTCAATTTCTTGGTTTTTCCTTTTGTACCTTGGTCCACCGGTATGCGGAGACACTTTCGATCCAAACTTTGGTGATCCATAAGAGATCGGGAGCCGGTGGGTGCTACGTGATGTCGCAGCGAAAGCAGTGAAGTTGATGGCCCTCGGCCTATATCCAAGCTCTCAGACTTCCCGTGTATCTGACCAGGGACTCCAAGCAACGAATGAGAGTTCAAAATTATAGTAAAGAGTCAGGGACACTTTTTTTATGTGGATACTTGGGTTCGTACTAGCTTCTTGCAAGGTGCCCGAATGTGAAAAAGCTTGCGAACTTCGTATGTGGTTCCCGTTACCTTATCCGACGGGCTCCAGGCCCCACGTTTTTGACTCTGAAAGGCGTGTGGCCAAAAAAAAAGCTTCTTCCTTGCTGGAATCAGCAGCTGGCCACCGAGCACGAAGAGGGTCTACGGATACACTACTCTTGGTTCTGATGAACTTGCCTGCCCACTGCCGGAGGAAAGTGGCTCGGCGTATGGTAGATGGGTAAGTTGCCCCCTCCCTCGCCGTGGATTTGGGTCGTCGTCGTCGTCGCCGTCGTCCAAACTCGGCCTTCTCGTGGTACCCGGGATTCCCATGTCCATGGTCCTACATGGGGACGAGGAACGCTGTCTAGGCGTTTTTTGGGCTAGTAAGACTCAAGTGTGCCGCTTTCCCGGAGAGTGGTCGACGATTCCCAGGTCAGGTCTGGCTGCAAGTGATTGAGATGGTTTCGTTTATGGGAAATCTCCCGGAAGTCTCTTCGAAATGTTTACGATGTCTGCAGATGCAAGTGCCATGGATGAGGTACCCCCGGCTACGTATCGTTTAGACAAACATGAACGTTTAGTATTTTGCTGATTGATTGTTGAGGCATTATGTGTATTAAATAAGAAATAGAAAGAAACACTATGTAGTTACAAAGTAAATGGTTCGGTAAAGAAGCGCAGATATGCCATATCTCGAAAAATCTCATCCATCGGCCGTAAATTCCCGGTCCCCGACTCAAGCCTGCGCCCCCCCTCGCTTCCAAGACTCCTGCGACGCAATGTCCTGATGGACGTAGATGACCGGCTTGCTTCCCATGGGCGCCTCGGTTCCCGGGGAAAACTGGCACTTTGTCGTCAGCTCGGCGCGCTCGAGGTCCACAACGGAAGTGTTATCGCCCAGTTTGTCGTACGTCCGACGGGGATGTCGAGCGCTGTTGCCGCCGCTGCTGTTCGTCAGATCCTTGAGGTTGATCTGGCCTTTGTCGGTCGAAGGGTTTGTGAGCTTGGAGCCGAACTTGGCGACGGCCGGCTTGATGTATGTCTTGAAAAGGGGGCCGAGGGTCGGCAGGCAGGCGATGATGATGCCGATCCATAGCTCGAGGAGACTGACGAGGCCGATGTCGTGGAGGTTGTAGACGAAGTCGACGTCACCGATAGTAGTGATCGTGTTGATGAGACGCCAAATCATGATTGCGATTGTTCTGAAAAATTAGAAAGTTAGCTCTTGCTTGATCCATGAGAGAAGACGAGTAGGAAGCAGGAACTACTTACGCGGCGCCCATGCCAAACATGGCGCTGACGGCAACCTTGTTCCTCAGGGGCATCTGAAGACCCCAGAGCGCCGGCATCGGCAGTGCGGTCATGGCGATGTCGACCACGATGTTGATGGTCACCGAAATGAGCTGGTCGACTGTGATGTCGCGGCAGTGACCGCCTTCGACGGGCGCCCATTGCTGCGACATGGGCGAGCATCTGCTCATGAACAGGATGAGGAACGCGACGCCGTAGGCGCCCGTCACGCCCATGAGGATGTACGACCAGCGCTTGAACTTTGCGGTGGAAAAGATTCTAGTATATAGCCACAGGATGGCCATCTTGATGAAGACGGTTCCCAGGAGCCATGTGACACCACTGGCGAGAATGAGCTGTCGGAGGCGCATGTTAGAAGTATACAACGATCAGGGCGAGATGTTTTGGCTTGCCTTGAATTGAACACCATATTCATCCTGATTCAATTCACTAGTGTGTTTGCCCAAGCCATTGTAAATGGCCCAAATGACAACGCCTTCCAGCGCAATAATGTTGGCCTGTCATTGTTAGTTCGGTGCGGTTGAAGACTGAGTGATGGGACTTACAAACGCAAAGATGATCATTCCGTCATCCCAGTAAAATGACCTTTTCATCACTCTCGCAGACCAAGCCCGCAGACATAAGAACGAGGCATCGACAACGGTAAAGATGACGATCCAAGCCAAGAGGCTCATGCCTCTCGAGCCAGCGCCGGGCATGATGGGCGAATGTTCTCCTTTCAAAGTGTGATGTGATTGGGCCCAGTCAGCTGCTCTGCTTTCTGTCGTCTGGAAAGCCAGCAATCAATGAGAAGGAGTTTCCGGATATCAGCCCGATGGACATCTGCCGTCGCCACACAGCTCGCGCGGGGGATGCCTTTATCTCTTATGGGGGGTGCGGGAACGACGCTCATGGCGTCAAAAAGCCGCCGGGTGCCATGCCACCACCCTCTTGCTCTCTAGTCCCTTCCCACAAAGACGAAACGTGGTTCCCGCGACTATCAACCACGGCCAGGAAATCCCAAAGGAGAAGTGGACGAAAGGGAACCAGAAAATGAGACGCACGTCAATGTGACGCTATTCTGCGGCAGTTCCCGGCATATTGGTGTGCTGCCGGCCCATTGACACTAGTTCGAAAACGAGAGTAAGAGATGGCCATGTAAGTATGACATTATGTATCCGTACATTGCACTACTTTGCCGAACCATGATTTCTCCTCCTGCACACCACCCATTTGGTAAGCCTGCCGGGCAAACTTCTGCTCATCTGATCGAAGGGAGACAAGATAGGATGGCATGGATCAGATCAGTAAGGGTTCTGCGCTCGCATGACACTGCATTATTTCATCCCCTCCCCCCTACTTGCCATGCTCAGCATGATAGTTGAATAGTAATACTCCGTAGGCATTGGTTCTTAACAGTCTCGTCTTTCAGGACCAACCACCCGCCTGCTGTTGTTGCACGTGTGGGTAATATCGATAGGGAACCATGGTCTTCCCATATGACCGTTCTCTTCTCAGATGTGATCGGAATTCGATATGTACGTGATGGGGACTCCACAGCCTCATCAACCCCCAAGGGTTGTCGAGTTGCCAGTCCCAAAGACTTCTTGGTCCAACGAGAGTCCCCTCTGGGAAAGCTCCCGTTCCTTGCCCTCTCCGCTCTACCATTTCATTTCAGGGTCAACCGTTCCCCAGTCTATTCAGAGCTTCGAGAGTGGGGATAGTCCCAAAGTGGAGTTTCTGCAAGTTGCTCTATCAAACTTTCTGGGACCCTTGTCAACCGGCCACTATGTATACGTATGTATACGTAGTACACAGCAGACCAAGTCCCACACTGCCACAAAGCAACCATGTGAAAGAGAAGAGAAAGTAGTCTTTAGCAGCACCGCCGTGTATTCGTTATCCCGGTTGGATGCAATGCTTCCCACCACGGGTCTGCACCTTCTTCTAAGGGGGAAACGTACCTGACCTTGACGGGTACGACCATGGTCATGTTGCAGCGAGGTTTGCGTTGCTTCGCCGATAATTATGCGAGGCACAGGTGTCACTTTTTTGGTCGGTCTCAGTTTCACCAACAACCCGAGTTGTCGGTGGAGACATACGCCCGTTGCCGCTTTTTAGTTGCTTACCAGTCAGCCATCTGCACCTGCATCCTTGATTCCTCCAAGGAAGCTGGGCAGGTAACGCCGCCGCCCAACCAACCAACCGGTCCGTCAGGTCATGGTCCTTCAGGTGCGACTGCGCCGCAACGCTACATATCACTGAGTTTGTCACCAACGGCCCGAGCTTCGACTTTAGCTCAGCTCAGCTCATCGAGGGGGATAAAAGACAGGGCCTTAGCTCGCGATAGCTCGACTGAGCCTGGCATCCCGTTATACCCAAAACCGCACTTCACTCAACCTATCCATATTCCATCGCCCTCGGCCTCGCTGAAAACCCGCCACGTCCAAGCCTGACGCTACATATTCCCGTTCTTGGTGAACTTTCCCATTCCAACATCTCTAAAGATGCAACCCCCTCTGCCCTCCATTACGCCAACATGGCGCAACGACACCTACGAGGCTATCTCGCCCTCCCGTCCGGAGCTCAGTGCGGCGGGGAAGACGGTCATTGTGGCAGGCGCGGTAAGTTCCACGATATATCCATTACCCTCTCCTTGTTGAACTCGACCCTCGGGCCTCGACCCAGCCTACCCCGTTCATGGCCCCTCTGTGATGAACTGTGCGTCCTTCACATCCGAAGATGTCCTGGCCCCTGGACCAAAATATCGGAACTTTTTGCCCCCTCACAACTCTATATCGCGCCAGTACGGAGTATGCATCCATCATATTGGACCCTCATTGACCTTCTTCTTTCTCAAAGGGTAGTGGAATCGGCCGAGAGACCGCCCTGGCCTTTGCTGCTGCCGGGGCCGCTCGAGTCAGTCTCCTTGGTCGCACAGAGGCCGCCATAGCCGAGACAGCCGCCTCCTTGCCGTCATCTGTGCAGAGCGACGTTCACGCCGTGGATATCACCGACGAGCAGACGTTGGCCAAGGTGGCAGCCGCAATCGGCAAGTGGGATATTCTTGTTCTGGCCGCTGGATATGTGTCCAGCCCGGCCCCCGTCACGGAATCGGCTACCGACGGCTGGTGGCAGAGCTTTGAGGTAAATCAAACGACCCTTGACGAGACCTCTCCACAAGTGGAGAGAGGTAGTCGGAGACTGGCAGTGAAGGAGAAAGAAATGAGAGGCCCGAGCACTTACACATGACAGACAAACACCAAGGGAACATACCTCGTTAGCAAGGTGTTCCTCCCCACAGCGAACCCTTCGCATGCGTCCATCGTCGCACTCACCACCGGCACAACGGCGTTGCCGGCAGTTGCTCTGCCTGGCCTGTCTGCCTACATGGCGTCCAAGCTAGCCCAAACCAAGATCATCGAGTTCCTGGCGGCGGAAAACCCCAACCTCTTTGCGGTTACCCTTCACCCAGGCATGGTCGAGACCGATATCTTCACCAAGAGTGGCGCCAAGGCCGAAGCTCTCCCCATGGATAAAGGTGCGGTTCTGTTGTCCCCACCTCCCTGCCCCCCTCCCCCCCCTTTGCTTCGCCTTCCCGTTGCAGCTCTAGCAGGCCAAAACAAGGTGCTAACACCCCACGCGCTGACTGCAGTTCAACTACCCGCCCACTTCACGGTGTGGCTGGCAAGTCCCGAAGCGGCGTTCCTCAACGGCCGTACTGTTTGGGCCAACTGGGACGTCGAAGAGCTCAAAAAGGGTGCCGGAACGATCCAATCTGGTCAGCTGCTGACCAGTGGTGTCAATGGTTGGCCATACACTAGCCTTGCTTGAAATAGTTCAGGACAAACGAAAGCAAGCTCATTGTTTTACACCACGTGCGGCCTGAGATAACCAAATGCATCAATCCTTTTATATGCCAATAATCAAGAACTCAAAATTGGAAATGCATTTATAAAAAAAATGAAAAATGACAAGACTTGCATGTTGGAAACTTGGCTGAACTCTAAATGACTATATAGTGTATTGTCTAAACATAGTCTTATCATCTCAACTCGAAACACAGCGACAGGGGCCCCGGGTTAGAGGTAAACTGATCCCGAACCTCGTCAAAGACGCGGTTGCCCGTCTCTCCCGGTGCAAGGCGGAAATGGTACTTCTTCACAAGTCTCGCAACAACGAACCTCATAGTGTCAGTGGCCAGGAAACGACCAAGACAGCTGTGATGACCTGAAGACGGGTTAGCCGACCAAGTTGACCAGATAGTAGACAATGAGAGAAGGTCGCCATACCTGTTCCAAATGGCGCAAAAGCTGCAACATTGCGGATCATCTCTGGCCGCGTACTCCATCGCTCAGGAATGAACTCATTGGCCCGCTCAAAGCAGTCCTCCCCTGTTGATAACCTGTGAGCTGAGAACTGATACAAGCCGCCCTATGATTTACTTACTTCGGGATATAACGTGACGCGGGGCAATGATTGTCGTGGCGGGTGGGATGAAAGTCCCACCGATCGTAGCCCCGTTCTCCGTGGTCTTCCTGGCCCCGCCGGTGAGAAGAGCTGGGTATAAGCGGAGGCCCTCGTTGATGACGGCATTGAGGTGCGGGAGGCTTGTGAGGGTCTTGAGATTGGTCGCGTCGACGTCTTCCAACTCTTCATAGACCTTGTCGGCGTGCTCGGGATGCTTAGCCAGCTCGCAGAAGATACCTATCAAGGCAGCGGCTGTCGGCTCGCTGGGTCTGTCAGTAACTGACCGATTTCCAGGTACGAGGATGAAACTTGCCTTCCAGCAACAATTGCGAGCAAGCTGTCACCGAAGAGCCATGGCAACCGATCATTGAGCTCGGTCTGGCCGTCGTTAAGCTCCATCAAGTAGTAGGCGAGATCAGGAACAGCTGGCTTAGGAGTTCCATCATCAAGTCTGGCACGCATTTGCCGCTCGCACCAAGCGACCATGTCGAACCAGTCCTTGAGAACGCTGATACGCGGTCCCAGCTTGAAGCCGACCTGGATGAGCCATGGAGCAGGGCTGAACGGTCCCAGAAGCGAGAGGGCACGCTGCAGCCGCACAATGATGTGATGCCACTGCTGCTGGTGCAGCATGTCAAACGACTTGCTGAAGACAAAGTCTCCCATGACATCGAACCCAAACCAGAAGAAGAGGTTTCGCACTTCGGAAGCAACGTGCGCTTTGGCATCTGCCTCGATGCAAGCGTCCAGCTGCTCAATATACTTGAGAATCTTTGACTCGTGTTGGACAAGGGCTATTGCACGGCACGGCTCGTCAGAGATAGGCTCATGATCCCGAAGATCTATGGGGTCATACCTTGTGCCGAGAACCCACGGTTCCATTCACGGCGTCGGGCGGCATGAATGGGTTTGGTGCGTGTTGTGACAAGCGCACGATCGGGGTGCAGAATGTCGTACCACTCAGATTTGATGCATTCAGACCGGGGACCATCCACGGCCATGAAGACTCCGGGGTGGAAAACAGTGATCTCGCTGGGTCCTAGCCAACCAGTCAGTCTAGGTATCAAGAAGATTGTTTCGGATGGCCACTTACCTGTCCTCACAAAATCTCCATACTGTTCATGTAGATTCTCCAAGAGCAGATGATTCTTGCAGTTCCTGCAGGCCCAGACGTGCCACAGCTTGGTGATGCGGGCGTACCAAGGGCCTTTGAAGCCAGCAGTTGTCAAACGGTGGAAGTAGAATCTGTAAAGCGTAATACTTGTGAAAAGTCCAGGCAGATAACCGACGAATAGTATCAAGAGTGAGTGGCATAGATCACCAACAGCTGAGCCCTTGTAGTAACGGCTAAGAGCCGCGAAACAAGAGAAAAGCCACAAGTGACCGAGAGCAATCTGGGGTGCCTGTACATGCCATTCTCCATGAATGAAGATTCCCTGATGAACAGCAAAGCCGCAAAGGAGTCCAAGGCCGTAGACCAGGACGGCTTGGTAGCTGGAGTCGAAAATAACACTCATGATGAAGTTTGTGTGTTGCACTTGGTCAGATTGTCCAAGTTCGAGACGCTCTCTCTTGAAGTCTGCCACCCATAGCATGACCTGAACTAGGACTCGATAAACACCCGCCAGTCGAGCCGTCATCCGAACCTGACATGGTGCCTAGTGCCCTGGCTGGGCCCAGTCCATTGTGCGACAATATGTCTTGAATTACCTGAGGGGTAATAGTATACCACAGAAACTGACTAGTGCCCAATAACTGGGATGTAATTCAGCACGCTTTGCAACGTCTTCCATTGTTTTCTGGAAGTTGTACTCGTTGATCAAAGGTACATACTTCAGTATCGCGCCGTGACGATCATGGGTCATCTCGATAACCTTGATATCCGGATACCGACCAGGTTCTCCCTTGACACTGGTTGACCGGGGGGTCGGGGAAGTGAGAGGGTCTGCGTCCCAAAGTGCCAACCCCCTGGTGCAGAAACAAAGTCGTAGGGATGCAACCCTGCAGTGGAACCTGCTTGAACGGTACCAAAAACGGTTGGCCGGTTCAACGTCGTATGTCGGTGCAACACGGCCGCCCCTGGGGGAGATGCCGGATGAGCGCTCGGTGCTACGGCGACTAATGCTTTGCCGCAATCCTACACAATCCTACACAATCCTGCACAATCTAACATGTCTCGCGCTCGGAGACCTGCCATGATTTAACAGTGACCAGAGTTCCAACAAAGTCTCTCGGTTTTGCAAAATCATTCGTTTTTACGATACTCATCACATCTTCTCTCAAAATGGCTGCGAAATACGACTTTATCATCGTGGGTGGAGGCGTTGCCGGCTTAGTAATTGCCACTCGTCTGTCTGAGATCCCGGATGTCCAAATCCTGGTGCTCGAGGCGGGTGAAGACCAGACGGCGGACCCTCGAGTCAATATTCCCGCACTAGGTCCCAGTCTTGTCAAGACGCCCTCTGACTGGCAGTTCCGAACGGTGCCCCAAGTGAGTGCTTCTGAGACTAGCAGCTGCTTTTTGGGAGTCGGCTTTGCTGATAGTGAATCACTTGCAGGATGGCCTGGGTGGTCGTGAGATTGCTGTCCCCCAAGGTCGCCTCCTCGGTGGCTCAGGTGCCCTCAACGGCCTCTCCTTTACCATCACCACGCGGTCCCATGTCGAGGCGTGGGCCAGCTTGGGCAACCCTGGCTGGGACTGGCCTACGTTCAATGAAGCCTCCAAGAAGGCTTATTCCATTGCCTCTGGTGAGGGAACAGGGCCGCTGAAGCTGTCTCTGCCGGATAACGTGGAGTCTTTTTGGCCCAAAATCTGGCAAGATACTATCCGCAGTCTGGGCTTCCCGGACTCTTGCGACCCCTTGAGTGGCCAGGGAGTCGGCAGCAGCCTCACGCCGGACACTATAGATCCGGAGACAAAGCAGAGAAGTTACGCAGGCAGTGCGTATCTCCAGTCGGCAAAGTCTAGGTCCAACTTGACTGTTGTGACCGGCGCCCTAGTGGAGAAGATTGTCTTCAAGTCAGATGCCGGCGAGATCGTTGCCGAAGGCGTTCAATACACCAAGGATGGCGAAACAACAAGGGCGACAGCGCAGAAAGAAGTTGTGTTGACTGCTGGCACTCTCAACTCACCTCGAATCCTTGAACTCTCTGGCGTTGGCAATGGAGAGCTTCTTCGTGAACTCGGCATCGAAGTCGTTCTTGACAACCCACACGTCGGTGAGAATCTGCAGAACCACGTCATGGTCGGCGCAAGTTTTGAGGCACTTCCAGAGCTCGACACTATGGATGGCATCATCCGTCAGGAGCCCGCTGCTGTTGGAGCTGCGATGGAGGCATATGGTAAGGGCACTGGGCCGTTCTCGCGAAGCGGTACTGTAGCGACAGCACAGCTTCCTTTGCCCGCTGGCGAGGATGTGACCCAGCTTCTCGACAAGTTGAGCGCCCCCAAAACGAGTGCAACGCCGGCCTTCACAAAGGCCCTCGAGGCATACGTGCGATCCGTCCTGACGTCATCCTCGGAGCCCTCAGGGTACTACCTTACGTTGCCGGGATTCGCATTGTTCAGCGGAGACGGAACCATGGCGCCGCCGCCGCCTGGCGAGGACAAGTACTTCACGATAGCGCTACTCCTCGCTCATCCACTGTCACGGGGATCGAGTCACATCAGTTCTGCGTCCCTGGAATCGCCCGCAGTCGCCATCGACCCCGCCTATCTATCGCATCCATTCGACGTCGAGGTCCTGGCCAGACACCTGCAGCTCCTGGAAAAGATCGCCACAAGCGAGCCGCTTCGGAGTCAGCTGAAGCCGGAGGGGAAGCGCAACCCGGCCAAGGCCCTGACGGATCTCGAGGAAGCCAAGGAGTTCGTACGTAAGACGGCAGTTGGCGCTCATCACTTCACGGGTACCTGCTCCATGATGCCTCGTGAGCTTGGCGGAGTCGTCGATGAGAAGCTCCGCGTGCATGGAATCCGTGGCTTGCGGGTGGCTGATGCTTCCATCGTGCCCATCACGGTGCGTGCCAACCCTCAGGCGACGGTCTATGGCATTGCTGAGCGGGCTGCCGATTTGATCAAGTCGAGTCTTTAGGCGCAAACTGCAATCAACAGAGGTCTGTAGCATCGGTTGGCATGACCGAGTAGGCAGCAGTAAACTAGAAATAAGGAATAAAGCCGTTATCTATCAATGGGATGATAGCAGGGTTCATGACGTTTTGGGTGCAACAATTGAGTTTGGCCGTTGCAGACGCGAGTGCTCGATTCAGGCATACACCAGCTACCTAGAAAGAGCGTAGGTACTTGGCAGCGAACACTGTCAGCGTTTTCAGGAATCAAGACTTGTAATTGAAGCCACTTGAAGAAACATGGTGTTGTCGAATGTCACTGTAGTCGCATCAAGCTTGCAGTTTGTTTTCGGGAAAGAATGTCACATCACATTGCTGGGCGGTTTGCGGCTTGTAGCGGAAGCGTCTGTGCCAGCGGGTTGGCGGCCGCTTCCCTGGACGCGTCCCATCGCGCCTTTAATTGACAAGGTATCAATACTTCACTTATGGTTCAGGGCCCACACAAACGAATGTACCTTGTCCGGAAGCTACACGTGACGGCGAGCTCACCTCGCGTCCTCCACCCGGCCGCGTCGCTAACAAATTCGCGTCAAAATCGCCTTCGTCCTTTGCACTTGTCTACACCCACACAGGCCATTCTACGCAAACATCACTTCGAAAGGCCCCTCAGATCTCGCTCTGCGAATGCCCTGACCCCAATTTCGACGCCCGCCGGCTCTTAAGCTCCTCCCAATCGCATGCCTCACCCGATCGCCAACCATGGTTGAACAGGCAAAGGGCTTGTTCGCAGAATGCGTCTTTGCCTTCGTGCCGAGCGCTCACTTAGCTCCTAAAGAAATCAGCGAGTACGCTGGGATCGTGGAGGGCCGCGGCGGAACCGTTCTCGACCCCAGACGCGATGGCTCCCTCAGACTCGAAACGGTTTCTCACATCATCTCCAACACAATCGACTTTGCCCAGTTCACCGAAACCCAGGCCTTCATGATCCCAGTCGTCAATACCGACTGGATCAAGGCATCAGTCAGGAAAAACAAGCAGGCACAGGTCCGGCCATTTTCCCCCGATCCGCGCATGTTCTTTTCCAAGGTCATGCTTACAACTGCTGGCCTGCCCGAAATCGACAAGGAGACCATTATTGGCGCCACGTTGGCCATGGGCGGCATGGAAAGCGCCGAAGTCACACGACAGACCACTCATATCTGCGCTCTGTCTATAGAAGATCCCAAGTGTGTCATCGCCAAGGAAAAAGACCTCAAATGCAAGGTCATTCTACCCCACTGGTAAGTTTGCCGTTCTTGTGATTTGAACAACCCCTCACACACCCTAGGTTCGAAGATTGCTTCAAGCTTGGCAAACGAATCCCCGAAGATCCTTATATGCTCCCCGATCCCGAAATCCTTCGCCGCCCCGAGAATCAGGGCGAGGTGCAAATTCCTACATACCACCAACTCGAGGGAGCGACCTCTACCAGTCCCAACTACGTCAGTGATGCCCCTCGCAAATCGGCCACAATATTTCGGGACAAGAAAGTCATGCTTTCATGGGACCTCAGCGTCACCCCACGGTCGCTGGAAGTTGTCAAGCAACTTGTTGTTAACGGCGGTGGCAAAGTGGTCGACCATGTTGACGATTGCGACTACTTCATTTGCCAGTATCGTGACGGCGAACAGTACATCAAGGCTGCGCAGTCAGGAAAGGATATCGGCAATCTCTCGTGGCTTTACCACCTCATTACGCACAATGAGTGGACGTCCCCGCTTCGCCGCCTACTCCACTACCCAGTTCCCAGAAACGGCATTCCTGGATTCCAAGATCTCAAGATCTGTCTCTCCAACTACGGTGGCGATGCTCGCATATATCTTGAAAACCTGATCAAGACGACCGGCGCTACCTACACCAAGACGATGAAGGCCGAGAATACGCACCTCATCACAGCAAGGAGCAGCAGCGAGAAGTACGAAGCGGCCAAGGACTGGAATATCGAGACGGTCAACCACCTGTGGATTGAAGAGAGCTACGCCAAGTGTGAGATGCAGAGAGTCACCGTCCCCAAGTATTCCCACTTTCCTGTTCGCACGAATCTGGGTGAGATAATTGGTCAGACCTTCTTCGATGAGTACTGCTTGCGAGAAACATACTACCCCGGTGGTGAGGAGGGGTTGTCGCCCCAAGCGGCAAGAAAGCGCAAGATTCTCGAGGCTGCGCAGGAGAACTCATACTTGCATGGGCCTGCTGAGGGCGTTGTGATTGGCAGGCAAGAGGATAAAAGTCAAGAGGCCATCGACGACAGTTTCATGACCCCTGTACGCCCCAGAAAAGGCAGCCGCGGAAAGGAGAACGAGACGCCCTCGGAAATGTCGACCGGAAGCCGAAGCGCCAAGAGCAAGGCTCTCACCAACCTACAACGCATCGCTCCCGATATTGCATTGTACGAAAAGGAGAAGAAACGTAGCAAGGATAAGCAGGGTCCATGGGGTGGTAAACGTGCTGCCGATCAAATTGACAGGGAAAGAGGACGCACAACGAGTCCACCACAGGCCATGGAAGTGGACGAGGAGGATGGAGATCAAAGGCCATCCAAGAAACGAAGATCGTTACGTCCAGAGGTCGAGATGAGAATTGTGCTGACGGGCTTCACGAGATGGGTCAATGCGAAGTCCAAGGAGGATGCGGAGAGGGTAAGTCCTGTAAACTTCTTTTTGTTTCATGGCTAACAAGTCGCAGCGAAAACTTCGCGACATGGGAATCCTCATAGTACAAGACGACAAGCCATGCGACTATCTCGTCGCCCCCCATATGGTACGGACAGTCAAGTTCCTCAAAACTTTGGCCAAGGGGCCTACCGTCCTTTCATCCAACTTCATTGACGAGGCACTCGAAAGGGGTGAGGCCCCCGACCCAGACGACTTTCTCCTTAACGACGAGGAAAGCGAAACCAAGTTTGGCGTCAAGCTCGAGACGGCCGTTTCGCGTGCGAGAGCGAATCTCGGCAAGCTGTTGTGGACTGTACCCGTGTACTGTACGGCCAACATCTTGAACGGACCCGACAGCTACAAAGCCATTGCCGAGGCCAACGGAGCAATGTTCAAGCTGTACCGCGCGCGCAGCGGCACGACCATCAAGCCAACGACGGAAGAGGAGGACGGAGGCGCGCCACCAGAGCCCGTCTATCTCCTCAGCTCCAACAGCGCCGACGAGCGGTCCCTCTGGCCCAAGTTTGAGGAAATGGCGCGCAAGGGCCACATGGAGCCTCGCATCGTCGCAGCCGACTGGCTATTGGATGTTGCTATGAAGCAGCAAGTATCCTTTGATGAGAAGTACCTCGCCCGGATCTTCTTTCGCACCGGCCTATGACGGTCGTTTGGCTCAGCTTGATGACTAGGGGGCTGTGGATTGTACAAGTATATACGCGCTGGCATGGAGTTGTGTATGCTTTACTGGAGGGTGGCTGACCGCGGGTGTAGGCCTTGGGACTTGATATTCGTTACGACCGCTCGAGGAATAATGTGTCAACGTGGTATGTCTAGTTAGAGATTCGCAAAAAAGGAGGCCATTTGTCTCATTGTCGTTTTTCATCAAGCAAGTAGGGGAGAGAGAGACATCAAAAGAACTTGACACCCTGCGAGTCCTCTTGTCCAAAAATTTGGGCCTTGCCACGCTTCACCAGGATTTGCAGCGCTTTAGCCAGGAGATCCGGGTCGATACCGTGGAAGTCTATACACACACGGAAACCTTTTTTTTAGCTCCCGGTCTCATCATATCGCGAATCTTCTTGAGAAGGGGAAAAAAAGGCGTTTGCCCACCTGTGCCCCTCGTGCTCTCCCCCTCGGTGAGCTCGTACAGGGTCAAGACGACGCCCTTTTGCGCCGTCTCGTCGATCCATCCCTCGATCGCGGCGGCCCATTCGTCGGGCGTGCGCCAGTAGACCCAAAATATGTCGGTGCTGGCCGGCAACGGCTCGGCGCGGCCGTCCTTGCGCATGAACTCGAGGACCTCGCGCGCGTCCGCCAGGCTGAGACGCTTGTTGAGGGTCTTGTTGTGGAAGAGCTCCTCGGGTGCGGCGGCGGCCGAGGATGTTGCCGTCGCGGGGGAGAAGGTCGTGGGCTCGTTGAGAGGAGAGTTGGCATTGTGATTTGGTAGGGCGTGGGGGAGGGCGGCAGAGGAGGAGGAGGGGATCGCGGCGCCGAGGGAGAGCTTAAAGAGGCGGTGGTGGCGGCAGTAGGAGAGGATTAGGTCGGACCACTTTACGAGCTGGGCGTGGTGCGTTGTGAGGTTTGTCTGGCGGGTGAAGAAGGGCGGGAAGGAGTATTCCCGAGGGAACGGGAAGGTGGACGTCGTTGTCGTCGCTGCCATTGTGCGGTGTTTTTTTGTTGGTCGCTCGTCAGATGTTGGATGTTGGATGTTGGAGCTTTGGGTTTCCTGTCGCAGGGAAGCGTCACTCAATGTAGGTACCTAAGGTAAGGTAGGCAGGCAGTGAAAGCACCGAGGGGTTGGTGGGGTAGGGATTTGCGGCCGGTGGGCCCAGCGCCGGGTGTGGTCAAAGCTCGCCGGTGCGGTGGGGTCGCTGAATTTATGGGGCTGGTGAAGTCCTCCGGCCTTTCGGTTCGGGACGACGTGGTTGTCCACCGCGACATCAACCTGAGGAACCTCGCAATACGATCTCCCTTCAAGAACCTAGTCAATAATATGAAATGTTCAAATGAAAGCTGTAGATTTGAATTATGGCATCCACAGTACCCAACATGATCCCGGTCGTCCGTTTCAACTTGGGTCGGGTAACTCAACCTTCCAAGCAGAAAGCCTTTCAAACCTTGCTATAAGTCGTCAAAAAGTTTCACGGCCATGACCTCGCTCAAATTATTTGGATTTTCACCGGTAATGTAGAACGGTGCGTTTGGAGGTTGTTTTTGTGTTTGGTTTGTTGGAATCTACATCCCAGGGTAGGCAACACCACCGTTTTCTCTTCTTGATGCCCGCATCACCCAGAAACTGAGATTCCGCCGGTTTTGTTTCATTCTATAATGCCAAAGTTTCGGGCTTGATTGCTGGTTATATTTGACGAAGCAACAACACGTATGAGAATCAAACTTCATAAATGCTATTTCCGTAAGCCAGATAGTATTTAATTCGGAGAGCTTACTTTCATGGTCCTTCTTCCTTAAATATTGGTTCTTGTCTTAGGAGTGTGGCAGCTTCTAGGCTCACAGAGGATAGTCATAGGTTGGGACAGCAGGTAAATTTTGAGCAACACTAGCAAAAGACAAACGCTTATTCGAACCGCTTACCTACAGGAGTTATCAAATTATGAGGAAGTGACTTGCTCGACAACTGAAACTGCCCTGCATATGGCTGATTCGAGTCGTCGACGTGTTGGACATCATCTACAGAGTAATGTTGTCGTTCAAATTGATGTGCTGTAGCCAATTTCCAGTCGGTTCCACTAAGCTCGATTGGTTTTGACAAAGTCCACATAACCTTGAGAGACTGTTTCCCTCTCTTTGACGCTTCCCTGCCATGGTCGTATTCAGCTTTGACTTTCCGAGGCTTCACGATGCGCCAACAACCAGACTTCTCACCCCCATCCAGGTGTCATTGCACCCGGTGCCACAACTCAAACCCAGAATGTGCCAAACGTCGTTTATGAACCATGAAAGAACAATCCCACATGTGCTATGGCACATATAGCTGCAATAGCCGAGCCGAGTAGCAAACGGACTGGCAAGAAATTACGACTGGGGTTTCGTAGGCATTACGAATCTCGCAAGTTCGAATGCTGAGCTTTTGCCATTTTTTGTGTCGATTTCCTTGCAGAAAACCAGGCCATTTCTTTTCCTGGCAAAAAGATACCCTGTAGTCATCATCATCAATTCTTTCTCTGCCAAGTGTCAATGGCTGCGACTCCATCCTCCACCTTCTTTCACCCCGGTGAGTCACCATTCGATTCTGATGACTACAGAATCAGTCGAAATAACGGCGGATTTTGGATACACCGGTTTCCCAAGGATCTCGTAGAAAATATACAGAACTCTTGGTCGAGTATGTGAGAGACTAATAGGTATTCGGGCACGCCTAACTAGTTTGGCCCAACTACTCTACCCTGAACCATTCTCCCATAACGTACGTAGTGACAGGTATGAATCTTACCTCGAGAGGATCACGCAGTCTGGTCGTCTCTTCATCTAAGGTATATCACGACAACATTCCAAATTCTCAATTGCACCTGAAAGACTATAAGACTTCATTCAAATTGAGCTCTAGAGTACAACGAGAATGGGAGTTTACAACGATTCGACCAACGAAAGTCGTCGAGCGAGCGAAGCAATTGAATTTGAAGGACAAATTTCACAGAAGACCGGCTTACCAAGTTGGCACATATGCAGTCCTTTATAAGACTTGTTCATTCTGCCGTGTATGTGAAATCAAGGCTTACGTCAAAGCAAGATCTCTCATTTAGATAGAAACAAATGCACCTGGGTGCTTTTCTCAGTAGAAAGTACGTGACCCTCGCGATTATAGCATTAATTCCAATTAAACTCTCTCGAAGGACAAGCCATTGACCATAGGGAGCTCTCGCGTAAAATAGTAGAAAGTCCGAATCCGCCCCGTCCCCCCCGCAAGGTGCTTCATATCTTGCTAAACGCAGGCGTCTATACCCGGCTTGTGAGCTCATCAACACAGCTTGTTTCTATGGTTGGAAAAACATAGAAAAGCCACGATGCGTTTGATTGATGGCCACCAACATTGAACTGCACTTCTTACCTCGCCATTACCTGATCTTACATGCATCCACTCACCTACTCACTCACGCAACCTCAGCCTTGACTCTGGTCCTTTGCACAATAATTGGTGGAGCAAAATATTGAAGCTATTTTGGCTATAAGCTCAAGTCTTATCTCAAGTATTCAAAGGGTGATGATGGGATTGGCGCCCCTTTGAGAAGGAGAAGGATATTCTTGAGACTTGTTTCTGAGGATTTCCTCTGCTGAGAACTACCTTGGGTAGTTACACGTATTGTTTATCCGACTATGCGTCTCGACGCTCGTAACATAGACTAGGTAGCTCAAACCCCCTATCAGATATGACCAGCTCGGAAGTCAAAACCAAATGGAAATTGGCCGAGGCTGAAAAGACATGTACAGCTTCTGAAATGGTGTGAGTGCGCCAACCACAGCAAGTCAAACTTCGGAGGCAAATTTGCGACATATTAGTAAAGCACCTACGAGGAAGTCCAAAAATAACGAGACCATACGGAGCTATTGTTCTAGCAGTGATAATCATTTGCATCTCGAAACTTTGCCAACCTTTCGTGGGTACCTGAGGCTCTTAGCTAGGGTGCTAGGCAAGTTCATCATCTCCATCGTAATTGGAGTATATGAATAAGAAAAGGCCGTGAAAAGCATTGCTTCACCTACCAGCCCAAGACAAGCTCTCTCATCCCATCCAAGACTATGATGTATTCCCAATCTGGTATCGGTGACAGCCCTCTCATCATCCTCACCTCGGTGAAGCAACCTCGACCCCAGACCCCAGCAGACCCATCGCGCGATATGGGGGTTCTCGGTACTCAAACCCCGACATGCCCGAGTGCCCCATATCTCCATCAAATGCACGTCGGATTTTTTCACCGCGAGTGTGCCAAACGTCGCGAAGACGACGCCCGAGCAATCTTTCGACAGACATCTGCCTCTGTCATTTGCTATATGCAGCATCCTTCGATTCCCGAGCTTCTCTCAAGCTCGATCTACGAGACCCAGTCTCCGGCCCCTGTCCCCCCCCAATGCATCCCCGAATCCTCTCACGCGTCCTTAAACCCCCCCAATCACTCCCCAGGATCACCCCCAGACTGAGTCCCGTCGTCTCCGGTACCAGCGAGCCGGTGGTGACCACGCACACGCTCATCAGGTCGGATCTGAGGTTGAGGTCGAGGTCAAGGTCGAAGCCACCACGGCCATGGACGTTCCAGCAGCGTGGCATTCACGGCGGTGCTGAAGAGACTTGTGACACTGGTGAATACACGTGCAAAACTGCTACTACTGCAGCAGCAGCTCCTTGTCGCACACCGCAGCGGGAGCTTCGCGCGACGCCAAAACCCCTCAATTCTTCCTCCAATCAACGCCCCACGCCCGCTTCTGACATCATGCCGAGCGCCGGCGCAAAGCTGGGGCCGTCGCACATGTCCGTCCGAAATTTGTCGTCGCAGCCGCAGGCCCAGCGGCACAAACAGACGACGACGACCCTAGAAAATAGTGTCACGGTAAAGATTGACGGCGGTGACGGTGTTCGTGCGGCTGCAGTAGACGCAGCTTTGGCAGACGCAGGAGCTTCACGAGACGAACAGCCCGAGAATACCTCGTCTCAGTCTCCCGCCGCCGGTGCTACCACCACCACCAACCAGCCTCCTCGACGAAAGGCATATTTAGCTAGGCAGTCAGTCACCATCCTTACAAGAACCACAACCTATACCTGTACACACACACATATACACATCTCCACTCCACGTCCCTTCGTCTCGTGTTCCATCTCGAAATTTCACGATCCCGACTTGTCCCCGTCCCGTTCCGCCCCGCCACGCCACCCACGCCGGCTCCTACGGCCCCCTTTGCTTTGCGCGCAGACTATTCCCGGACAACCCAACCCCAGGCCATTGTCGATTTTGCTCTCTCTCTCTCCGCGTGATACCCCCGACCCTCCCCTTTCCCCATTGAAGTCCCCAGAGCCCCAGCTTGCTTAGTCCTGCGCCTTATTCCCTTCCCTCGGTCCTTGTTTGTCTCCATTCTCTTTTCCCTCGGATACCCCTTGTGTTTCCTCTGTCACCCCCCCTTTCTCTTTTCCTCTTCCTTGACTTACCAACAAGCTACCCAAATAGCAGCCTAATCGACATCGACACCATGGCCGAGACCAGAGAACCCAAACGCGCGCGCGTGGCCGCAGACCCGGCCGAGCACCTCCCAGCCGGCATCACAGAGACCCAGGAAGAGCTCAAGGAACAATGGTTCGTGGGCAGCATAGACCAAGGCACGACCTCGACGCGCTTCCTCATCTTCAACGGCCTCGGCGACCCCGTGGCAAGCCACCAGATCGAGTTTGAAAACCACTACCCGCGCTCCGGGTGGCACGAGCACGACCCCCTCGAGCTCCTCTCCTCGGTCGAAGAATGCGTCGAAAAGGCAATGGCCCAGTTCGCCTCCCAGGGCCACTCCCCGGCCGACATCCGTGGCGTCGGCATCACCAACCAGCGCGAGACCACCGTCCTCTGGGACGTCCGCACCGGCGAACCCCTCCACAACGCCGTCGTCTGGCCCGACACCCGCACCACCTCCCTCGTCCGCGACCTCCGCGCCCGCCCCGGCGCCGACGCCCTCCAGGACCTCTGCGGCCTACCCCTGTCCACCTACCCGTCCTCCGTCAAGCTCCGCTGGCTGCTCGACAACGTCCCCGCCGTCCGCGAGGCCTACGACGCGGGACACCTCGCCTTCGGCACTGTGGACTCGTGGCTCATCTACCGCCTCAACGGCGGCGCGGATAAGGGCGACGCGGCCGTCCACGTCACCGACTCGACAAACGCCAGCCGCACAATGTTCATGAACCTCCGCACCCTCCAATACGACGACACCCTCCTCTCCTTCTTCGGCATCGACCCCGCCAAGATCCGCCTCCCGAAAATCGTCCCCTCCTCCGACCCGACCGCCTTTGGTTCCTTTGCCCGGGGCGTGCTCAAGGGCGTGCCCATCGCCGGCTGCCTGGGCGACCAGTCCTCCGCCCTCGTCGGCCAGTGCGGCTTCTCCCCCGGCCAGGCGAAAAACACCTACGGTACGGGCTGCTTCCTGCTCTACAACGTCGGCGACGAGCCCGTCATCTCAAAGTCGGGTCTCCTGGCCACCGTCGCGTACGACTTTGGCAAAGGCAGGAAGCCCGTGTACGCCCTCGAGGGCAGCATCGCGGTCGCGGGCTCGGGCGTCAAGTTCCTCGTCAAGAACCTCTCTTTTGTTGAGGACTCGTCTCGCATCTCGGAGCTGGCCGAGACGGTACCGGACAACGGCGGCGTCGTCTTCGTGACGGCCTTTAGCGGCCTCTTTGCGCCGTACTGGATCGACGACGCCAAAGGAACCCTGTGTAAGTCTCTTCCCCTCGATCCAAATCACTCATTCACTCCACTCACTCACCTGGCCCCCCCCTTACATTCCATGACTAACAAGAATCTTGTAAACCGTCAGTCGGCATCACAGCGCACACCCAAAAAGGCCACATTGCCCGCGCGACCCTCGAGGCGACGTGCTACCAGACAAAAGCCATCCTCGACGCCATGGCTACCGACTCGGGCCACGCCCTCGAGAACCTCGCCGTCGACGGCGGCCTCTCCAACTCGGACCTCTGCATGCAGTCCCAGGCCGACATCAGCGGCATCCGTGTGGACCGCCCCGCCATGCGCGAGACCACGGCCCTCGGCGCCGCCATCGCCGCTGGCCTCGCTCTGGGCGTCTGGAACGAGCTCGAGGACCTCAAACACGTCAACCAGACGGGGCGCAAGATCTTCACGCCCTCGCTCGACAAGGAGACGAGTCAGAAAATGTTTAAAAAGTGGGAGCAGGCCGTCGAGATGTCGAGGGGTTGGGTGCGTGATAATGTCGAGTAAGGATGTAGAACATCTGTCTTGGAGATTTCGGAGTACTTGGTATACAGAAAAGATAAAAGAAGGCGTGCCTATTTTTGGATGGTGGGATGATATTTCATTTAGACAGGATACCAATCAAGTCAGCTTGCCTTGTTCATCGCGCCCACTCACTCCCTCACCCGCCCAGTGAACGCGCAAATGTGATCCGTCATCTATCCCCCCCACTTCAAATCACGAGATACTCGCATGGTTTATGCACGAGCAACACGAGAAACTGTCACCGACTGCTTAGGGGACCTCAAATACACAGTTATCATCTTTATTGCCATCTGTCTCACAGAGGACCCCACAATCGGAGTCTCCCGTGTCCACGACACATCGAGGGAGTATCCTTCAAGCTGGGAACAATCCTCGACACCGTTCGTCTGCATTTCGTAACAAGTGGGACCATCATCTTTCCCAAGAAAAAAAAAAAAAAACAGCAACATCGCAAAGCCAAATGCTTTTCTGTGCTCGCCAAATGATTCCCCTGCCGACGCCAGACAAAAATGTAGTGCTTGGTTTCTGCCCCCCTTTCTTAAAGTTTGAGACTCATGAGTGGAGTGGTGAATCGTATCGCAACTTGGAATTAGAAAGTCGATAAGAACAGGCGTGCAGACAAGAAGTATGAAGAGCGCGGACCCCAGAGTGTTCGTCCAGGCCCGGGTATAATGTTTTAGTTTTTCGGTTGGGTTTACATAATGATGGCGGGGATGTCGACGTTGGCCTTGATGCTCTTGTGGGGGAGAATGCTGCCGCCATTGACGTAGATCTCGTCGCCAATCGTCACGTCGTCGCCGAGGACGGTCACGTTCTCCAGACGAGCCCACTTGCCAACAGTGCTGTTCCAGCCGACAATGGTGCTCTTAACCCACGCATGATCCTTGACCTTGGAGCCGGGCAGCAGGACACAGCGCTGAAGACGGCAGCCGTCGCCAATAACGACGTTGGGGCCGACAGTGACGTTGGGTCCAATCTTGCAGTGCTTTCCAATCTTGGCGGAAGGGTCGATCAGAACGTTGCCGCCGTGGACATAAGGCTCTGAGGGGGAGGCAAGCTCCTTGGAACCCTGCTTGGTGAGGGAAGTGAGGTACAGGCAGGTCCCGGTGAGGAAGTCCTTGGGCTGACCAACGTCCATCCAGAAGCCGGGGAGGTCGAAGCTGTGCAGCTGACCGTCCTTGACGATAGCGGGAAAGGTCTCCTTCTCGATCGAGGTGGGGCGGAGCTCGATGCGCTTCAGAACGCTGGTGTTGAGGATGTACATGCCGGCATTGATGCGGTTACCGACGAACTCGACGGGCTTCTCGACGAAACGGTCGATCTTGGTGGGGTGGTTGGGCTTGTGGACAACAACACCGTACTTGCTGGGCTCCTCGACCTTGGTGACAACAATGGTGCCCTCATCGCCGTGGTTCTTGTGGAACTCGGCCAGGTCCTTGAAGGGGAAGTCGCAGATGACATCCGAGTTCAAGACGAAGAAAGGGGTGTCATCCTTGGCAAGGATGCTCTCGGCCAGCTTCAGAGGGCCAGCGGTATCGAGGGGTTCGGTCTCGACGGAGAAAGTGATGTTCAGGCCGAACTTCTTCTCGTACTGTTGGGGGAAGGATGTCAGTATATTTACATGTCGAGGAGAGCTTGAGAGGGGTAGCTCAGTGTAAGACCCACCTCCGCCAAGTGCTTCTCCATAACCTCGGGGCGGTAGTTGACAGCAAGGACGACATCAGTGACACCAGCGGCAGCCAGGGCCTCGATCTGGTGCTCAATCATGGGCTTGTTCGCAAACTCGACCAAGGGCTTGGGGAGGGTGAGGGTCTGCGCGTTGAGAAAAGTAGGTCAGCACCACGTTGTGTCAGTGTGGAAGGCATGGCAGCAACTGGCGGGGGTTTGGTGCTGCTGCCGCATGCCGTGTATTCAAGCTAGGGAGAGTGATGTACGTACAAGAGGGCGAAGACGAGTGCCAAAGCCGCCGACGAGAATAATGGCTGTTGGTAGCAAGTTAGCAAGTCTGCTTCATTGATGACCACACAATGCGCCTGCCGCCAGCCTTGAGCATGGCAGAAGGCTAGGCAAGGCTGAACCTGGTACTGGCGCAGGCGCAGGCGCATGTAACTGTTTGTATGGGGAAGGTGCTTACCCTTCATGTTGATGGTATTGTGGTTGCGTGGTTTTGTGATGGTTCGGTATTGTTGAGTGACGAGAAGAAGGGAGAACGCAACAGCTTCCGTGGGGAGGTGCGTTTGTTAAACGAGTGTGTGAACGGTTGAAAGAAGGAAGAGGTTCTCTTGGCCTGGTCGGTGTGACTGGATTCGGCGACAAGGGGAAGCTTCGTTTTTCGAGGGGAGGTTTGACGTGGATGGATGGATTGACCAAAGGGGTAGTTCGCTCAGTTCCAGAAAAGATTATAAAGTTGTTAAAAGACAGAGAGGCGTGCCGTTTCTCCAACAGAGGAAATACAATGGAACCTTGCTGGGGAAAGTAGATCCAGAGATGGGAAAGTGGAAGGCCTTTGTGAGAAGTTGCAAAAGGCAAGAGGTTGAGCGAGCGCAGTGAAGGAAGCCACAAGGGAGGTCAGAAAGTCGGGATGGGAAAAAAGGGAGGTCAGAGGTCCACGGTTGGTCAGTGGTCACAGATGGGAGGCAGAAAGAGAAGGAGAAACGTGAAAGAGGCGCAGGGGACCTTTAGGTGGTGAGGGAGAAGACCTGACACCTTCAAAAATGACACGACATCTGTACCCCCAAGGTCCCGGTCTGGGTCTTGCAAATCCAAGTCACTCACTACTGTTTTTCTATGGTGAGGGACTTGGCCGGGCAGCCTGCGATGGCAATTGGGGGCAGCACGGCAAAAAGCACAGGGCACCCAAAGGGGGAGGGGGGGGTGGGGTGTGTGTGGGTTGCCGGCACGGTCACCTGCATCGCGCGCTGCAAGCCTCCGCACTTACCTTAGTGGCAGCAGTCAACGGACAGGTAGGCGT